AATCAACTAACTTGTAAAACAATGCCAAATTTTTCTTCGCTTATCAGCTTCTGAAACACTATATGAGGGTTTACTGGCGCACAGTGTCAGAAAACTTGAGAAGATAAGGTAAGGACTCAGTAAATACAATGTCATTACGAAATAGAAGAAGTCAATAAGATACATCCGTACTGTGATTTCCAGTGTTATTCTAAAGTACGAAACGGTTTTTTTACTACGAGACTTGAAAAATTGCTTTTGGCGTCATACTGCATAATTACACAGAAGACACTATCATTTCAGAAACCCTTACATTACTCAAAACAATAGAAAATCCATCTAGTAAGGAGTGGGATCCTAAAACTCAATCCATTAGCCGAACATGCTACCAGTCCCTGAAAAACTGTGGCGACTTTAAAGGTCAGCAGCAATAGTCAGAAAAGTAATCTGATGAAAAAGTTATAAAAAGTCATATAATTATGGCAGATGTATCTTCTTTTCGCGATACTCTATCCACGACAGTGAGCAACGTGACATTCCAATAAAAACAAAGATTACTCATTTTGGAAAGTTTTAGTATTATGTGTATCCGGTAACTTACCGATTCCCTCCGAGTGTTAACTAATGCGTTAATTCTTCTGGAATTACTTTTTTACTTTTCCATTTTTCATTTACAGGTGAGATGTTTTTTCACGATGCATGCAGCAGTGCCTTTATTAATTTGGATGTTTTATACCATCCCATATGACTTTATTAACTGAATTAAAACGAGTTCTCCTTAATCATTAACTGCATTAACAGATATCAATGCTTCAACGAGTAAAAAAAACAGCTTTTTCATTTCTGTACTGTGATAATATATTATGGCGCTTTGAGTGCACAAAAGACATTCTCAAAGTTTTTTAGTCAAGTGTACAGAACACGAATAAATCAGAAAAAGAAAGTATTTGAAAGTAAGTAAGTTTTACAGTTATCGTGATATTTTGTACTTCATGTGCATTCAGTAAATAGCCATGGCTGGCTTCACCGCGTACGAAGCGTACGCTGGATAGTACAGGGGACTGTAATAAGAGGCTGCATATGGGTAATATCCATAACTATATGGACTGTACAGATAGTACCCGTGAACCGACATGGCAAGAGCGACAATAAGAATGCATATGAGAATTCTGTAAAAACAACGAATCAAGTATTCACTTTAGCTCATTGCCGATATGCCTAATTTTACACACAAATGAAGCCGTTATTTCCTACTGAATATTTCATTTTTATTGGAAGTAGCTATCGAAGAATTTAAATACAGCTTTACTGTTATTCAAATAAAAGTTAAATTACTTACAGTTTTGAGAACATTATAAATTCTCTTGTTGAATGCTTCGGCCGGGCAGTAGTAAAGAAGATGCATAGGAATAGTGGTTGGTGATTATATAGTTATCTGTAAAGACTGGTTTAACACAGGTAGAAGTTATGAAGGTTGAACAAACGTCATATTTACAGATTTGTACTCATTCAGAACTAGAATTTCTCAAAATATTCTTCATCGTTTTTTCGCATATTTTTTCAGAAGTAATTTTTACACTTGCTGACAACACTTGTATGAAAAGTGAGAGATGGAAATGACGACGTTATTAGCTCAAATGCCTACGCAAAGCTTAACGAGGAGAACCTTTTCGGGAAACACAAATGTTTTAATTTTTATACATGTTGACAACAGTTTAACCTACTAATTTAGTCCAAGAAAATAATTCTCAATGCTGTTTGTAAAAAGTCATTGGAAAAAAAAGTAAAAAGAAGATCTGGCAAAAGGTGATAACTTTGCTGCGAAAGAAAACTATGATTGTATCTAGCGGTTAATTTTTATAAAGCAATTTTTTAATTATTTTTTTACAGCAGATGAAATAAAATTTGAGCAAGAAGAATAATTAATTGAGCCGTGATCATTTGAATAATCTAAACTAATGCTTCTTAGATGAAGTGATACCGCACTCTGGAAAAGGCAGAAACTAAGCGGAAGACGATGGAAATTTTAGGTGCAGCAGACGGATGCCCAAAACGATAAACACTGTGGAAGTTTTGAAGCAGATTCACTGTGAACAACTTCAGTAATGGCAACTAAGCAGTGAGATGGATTTAACAGGAAAATAAAATCTAAATCTGATTAACAGAGTAGTTAATTCAACAATTTTTTCCTAGATTCTTAAGAATCTGAGCAAAACAATTATCGCTTTCAAGCAAGATCTGATGAAAAAAAGCGGTTACAATGGAAATTTCAAAATATGGGTCTAAACTAACCCATCACATTTGGAATACAAGCTGATTTAGGTCTGTGTTCAAAATGATTTTCTTCGTTTTACACGGTCATAATTAAAACTGTTTTTCGCCCAAGCAGAAGAAATATAAAAATAACTTTTTAAATTGTTTTTTTCAGCAGTCTAATCAGAAACCGTTTTTAGTTCTCCAGAAGATGAAACAATAAAATGAAAAAAATTACAGCAGGAATGCGAATTAACAAACTAAATTTCCAAATCGTCCTCTTTGATGTTTTCGCGCTAAGGTTCCTCTTTGAAATTAGTACATTGCCGAGCCCGTTAATCACATTCGGAAGGTTAAAACATCAATTCTCTAACTTGCTTACTATACAGAAGGCATGCTTCAAAAACACGAAGAACCCAAGATACCAACGATAGAATAAGCCCGTCTTCACACTTCTTTTTTTTGGTTTTTGTATCGGTCGAGTTGACAATCGTAATCGTGGAATAGGACAAAAGTTACATTTCGGGGAGGACTTCCTTCCTATTTTTCCAATGCATGTTAACTGTAGCCTTTGACTGGGTGGAAAACTTTTGCCTTAACGTGCGGATATTGAGTTTTAGAACTTGGTTTAGGAAGAAAAATCAGTACTGGACAGTAGTTCGCAAATTTTCTTTAACTTTTACGCCACGAAAGTGGTAACTTAAGACATGTCAAAACACAGATTTTAAAAAAAAAATTACATTATTCCACGCTGCATTTTTTATTTTTTAACCGCTACCGGCGCGAAGTCGTAAGCGCTATACTGTTCAGTGCGATGATGCGGCATAATCAGAACAAGGTTAGATGTAGTTTTTTTAAATTAATTTATTTTCTTTTCAGCCTTGTTTTACGTTGTCCATCATAACCGTCTACTCAATTTAGAAAAGTTCTTAAGTTCACGACGCTGCAGGATGTTAAGTTTTGTATACTACTTATTCCTGAAAAAAACAATTAAATTTTTATTTTCTCGTAATAACTACGTTAGCTCTTCCTTCCCAGTATAATTGACGGCTATTTTTCTGTAAAATAAATGAATGCTCAGTGTAATAAAAAAGATTTTGAACTGAAAGTTATTAAAATTTATTTAGAGTAGACTAATTTATTGTTCTGCAGCAAAATTCTGGTAAGTCGCAACCGGACTTTTTTGCACTCATCATCATCCTTGGAAACATCTTTATGACTTATGTAATCATCGCCTAGCATAAGCTGCAATTTTTGTACTGCTTTAGAAGATTAAAGATGTGCAGTGGAAAAACCACTTAGTTTGACGTAAATTTACACTGTATAACAACTAAACTTTTCTTTGCCGTCTAAAGGCATCATCTAGAGGAAAAGCGGTTAATGGCTGTCAATTACATGAGAGAACAAAAATTATGAGCCAAATCATCCTCATTGAGGTTTTGTTGAAGTTACAGGCATATACACTACTTAGTTAAAGACTTTTGGAAGCACAGTATCGTTAACTTCGACAGTTATTACCACTTGAATAAACTTAGTATGGAGCAACGCACATTTTACTCATAGTTTACTGCTTTGAACAGGTTACAAAACCACGCGTAGAGGTTTCTTCAAGAAATTCTACGATGTGAATATAAAGTAAACCGATGAAGAAATTCTGGTTTTGTAGAAGTGGCAAGCAACACTTTTAATATTTACGCAACTTCCTGAACCTTTAAAAAATTTTAACTAGTCCTTTAAGACGGCTATATATTTTTCGATGAATGCTGTATTTTATCGTCTTCTTCAACAACCAGCAGAAGAAAATTCCAGCAGTCTTCCCAATGTTCTCAAAGATGTAAGTAGCTTGGCTGCCATTTATTCAATAATAAGAGCTTCTTTGATCTATTCAAAAGTTACTCCACTCATAAATGGAAGAGTGACCAGAAAATGACGGCCTCCAGCAGCGGTAAAAAGCAGTGTTAATTAATTTTCATTAAGATTCCAGATCAATTTTTTTTAATTTTACAGCGTTCTCATCTGCATTCTTATTGCCGCTCTTGCCATGTGTGTCAACGGGCAATATCTGTACAGTCCATATAGATATGGATATTACCCATATGCAGCCTCCTACTACAGTTATCCTTATTATCCGGTGTACGCCTCATACGCAGTAAAGCCAGCCATAGCTATTGTTTGAACGTATCTAAGATATGAACAATGGCACCAGTACAAATAACAAAAAAATCTCAAAGTGTAATTTCTTTGTCGCGTAAGATTTCGCCGATTTACCTAAAATACTAACAGTGATGCTATTGAATGTTTTTTTTCTTGTCAATAAAGCTTTAAATAAGATTGGTATGACGAAATAAGGCTTTTACCAAAAAAAATCTACTTTAGCGGAGCAATATCATTGTTTGAAAAGCCTTCTTATTTTATCCAAGAGTAACCTTCAACGATCAAGAACGACCAAAAAAAGATGACTGCATTTCTGCTGGAAAAAAAGAAACAACCTGATGCAGAAAGCTTTTGGAGAACTTCAAAACAGTATCGATCGGAGTGAGTTGAAGCCAAAATTCCTGAAGAATGTGCAGCAATTTCAAGAGATCTGTTTGACGAGAAGCATTTTTTTATGAGAAAACTTTGAGGCACTCAAAAGCTACATACTTTTTTTATGTATGGTTTAGAGAATAGAAAATTAACACAAGAATTTTGAGAATTTTGAAAGAAAAGTAACCAAGATGGGGGTGATGCATCTAAGGTGGAAGGATGGATTGAAATTCATCATTTTTAATTGCAATGTTTTGTTCTGCAACTATTTCTAAGGACAAAGAAAGAACATTAAACAACTCCCGGAACCTCTACCAACAAATATACACACGTAAATGCAGAACTGCAGCAGCAAATTTACATAATGTTTGTCGGTTACTGAAACTTAAATTGTCTTTTTTACGTGTGCGTAGACAAATTTGTTGGCAAAAGATTTATTTCATTTATTTTATCCTATTATTCCTACTCAAAAAGTCTACAATCCATTAATAATCCTCGATGTTTCCTGTAATCCTTACTAAGAAATTGCCGACAGGAACATCTAATAATTAGATCCAAAAGAAATAAACGAAAGTGATGACGTGATACATGCTGTAAAACACTTGAACACAAACACTTTTTTCTTCACTTCGTGCACTGATGATTAACCAAACTCCGGAAGTTTCCTTCAAATTTTCTTCATCTTTTTACCGCATTTTTTTTCCCTTCCCGTAACCTTGACTTCCTTTTTTTTCTCAACAGTGCTTCACACTCCCCGTCCATCAGCTTTATTCCATTCCATTCAGTCTATTTCGCAAAGCTAAGCAGTTCTCCAATAATTTACGAAAAGAATGTAAAACAATGCAAAAAATAAAAAAAAAAAAAAGCTGGTGTAAAATGTAACTTATAAAATGCTTTCTAAAGCAAAAAGAAATATTTTACAGTGGAAAAATTCTTTTTTCTGTCTGACTTTTCTTAAGAATAAAGCATTCAAATAAATAAAAAAAAAAGAAAGAAAAAAAAAAAAACAAAACTGTAGAGCTGTTTTCTTCTGCAAAAACTATTTTCCTTCCACATACTTCTACACCGTTTTGCACACAAATTCAATAAGATCTCATAGGTTTCATGAAAAAACTTATCTTGCAAAGAACTTTTATTAAACATAAAATAGGACCTTTCCTTAGCAACTCTCAAAATTCTACCAATAAACCAACTCTTTCATCTACTATATTTTAGCCTAAACTCTTACCGATTTCTATTCTTTGTAATAAAATTTTGTAAACATTACTTTTACAGCCTTAAAATTTTTTCATTTTTTCTCAAAAAACTTAAGACTTTTTTTGGCTCTTAATTACCAATGCAAAAAAATATGCAAACATCTACCCAACACCCAGACCTATTTGCGGAAGCTGAGTGCACTTCGTGTTCATAACTTGTCGAAAACTGCTCTCAAAACCTGTTCGAGATTTGACAAGTAAAATACAAAACTGGTTACCAAAATTTCCTATGATCTTCCGACAAACTTCGTTCGCCTCCTTATTAAAAATATCTTTTGAAACTGTTGCTGTTTACAGCTCAGAATAAAACTCTCACAAGTTCAAATGTCCACCACTGCCAATCACTACCAAACGGCCACCACTAATCCAAACGTTTTAGTCGTCAACAACAGTCTAGCCCAGGTCCACAAAATGTATAAAACTCATAAGCCTATTGTAACACGGAAATTGCTTCCTCTGCTTGCGAACCTTCGACAGCCTAAACTATCCACTGCAAACATCTTGACTCCATCCCTTCTTTTTTTTCCAAAAATTGACAAAGCCACAACAACGATACCAACAAAATGAAATCACATCACTGATCGACAGCCGACTACCCCATCATTGAAATGTTTCCAATTTAAACAACCGTCTTAAGCGTTTGTTTACCAGACGCATTCATTGGATTCAAACAAAGAAACTAGAAACCTTTCCGGTTCATTACTGCAGCAACATAAGCAATATCAACATCATTATACAGAATTGTACTTTAGAAAACACCATTAACGTTGCAATTAAATAGACAATTCAAATTTTCTTTTATTAGCAGTAGTAAAGCCGATCGTACAGAACTACAAATGACAAACGCGTTAAACATCCTTGACAAAAAAATTTAGGCCAAATCTTCTTTTCCTTTTGGCAACTTTGACAATGATATAATTTTAAAATTTAATCCAACTATTCATGAAGAAAAACATACAACATAAATCATAAAATTTTACTACACAATTCGAACAAAACGCTTGTGTAATACAAGCTGACCAGACAGCTATATAAAATTCAAAAAAAAAAAAAAA